GTTAGGGCCATTAGATTCACTCGGTAAATAGATGTAGAGCCCCCCTTTCCGATGGCACAATGACGCGCAGCCTATACACAAGGGCACAGAGGTCGCACTATACCTGATTCGGCAAGCCATTCTTACGCCAATAAAGGTAACCACTAACAAGCTAGAAAAGGTCCTCATACTGAGCTAAAGTCAGAGCCATATAGCCCTCATAGTTGTACTGTAAGTCCCGGATGATCACTTACAGATAAGTCCTTAGGAAGAGGAATCTAGAGCACCATAAAAACAGCCCAATGCTCTAGCCCCCTTGTTCCATGTTGCTAAAAAGCATCTTTTAATGTTTATTGCATATTCCATTAGTCAAGTTACAAGATCACGGCTTTAGTTGAGCGCTAGCATCATACTACCCAATGCATAAACCCATAGGAATCAAGGTACAAAGTAACAAAGTACTAGGAAATCCTTAGTGGTAGTCAAGGTTGACACATGCAGTATGAATTAAATGATTAAAGGTGTATAGGACAACAAGGAAGATCCCATGCTATACTTGCCTTAAACTTAGATCCTTCTTCAAGTCCAAAACTTCAAAGATTTGCTTCTTGATTCAACACGTATAACTCACCGACTGGACAGGAACATAAAGCACCACACAAGCATCCATGCAATCATATACGAAGCAAACATTAGATCTAAATTAGAACAGTACACCAAGTATAAAATCAAAATAAAAAGTTTGTAAAGCGAATCTGCGTCTCGCTACGAACACAAAGACGCGAAAAGCACGCTAATCGGAGCTACGGTGAAAAAGATACATCTACTGATAAATTTGCTTTATACGTGGAAAAGAAAACTATAGGCTTCATTTATTTTAACTATGTAAATTCATATATATATAAGATATTTTATAAATAATATAAATTGAATTAAGTCAATTTTAGATTTGAATTATAAAACTAAAGTAAAACAAATCATATTTTATTTAAAAAGTCCAGTTGCATAATTATTAATCAAGATATGATTTAAACCATGAAATTTCATAAATAGTAATATGGTAAACAATGTTACTAACGCGTAGATGTCGTCACTATGAATCTAACGCAACTTTAATAGGTCAAATCAGAGCTAAAACGTAGAAGATATGAATTAAACAAGATTTCCTTTAATAAAATAATAGATTAAATCTAACCTCGAATTTTAAAAGTTGAAAACGTATCTAACAGTACTATGAACATGTAGATTATGAAATTACGAACCTAACACGAGTTGAACGGGTCAAATCGGAGTTAAAACGAAAATTTTATGGCCTATAAATGATAGTGGCAAAACTGTAAATAACTAAAAACATATTTTTGAAGTCAGCCGAACAAAATACGCTTTTAAAAGAAGGCATAATCTGTCAAATACGTAATGGACCGCGGGCACAAATATCCAAAACCCGAGGGGCTCTTTTGCAAGATGGCCTGCGAATTGGTATGGGATGATCTGGGCCACTGGATCGGAGAAGGACGGCTCGGATAAGATTGAGAAGGGAGAGGGAGGAGGCTACCGGCCGAAACAGGAAGAGTGACGCGGTGGAGGCCATGGCCGGCGACGAAGCGCGTCGGCGAAACAAGAAAACAGCCTTAGAGGCCACGGTTTTCGTCGGGGAAAACACGGGAACAGAGAGGACGGCACGGAGAACTCAATGGAGGGGACTAGGACATCTACGACAGCACGGTTTCAACGCGGGGCTAAGCTGAGCGGCTCGGACGTGGCGGCGAAACTATGACGACAAGGCACAGATGGTAGAGAACGAGGTAGGGGACAAAAGCGGTACCCAAAGCTTCCTTACCTCAGGTAGATGCTCTGCAAAGCGATCGTGGTGGTGGAGAGACAGCGACGCGGCGAATCGACGGCGGTGGCTCTAGGGTTGCACGGTGGCGCTGCAACGTTCCTCTAGGGCACAGTGAGAATGGCACGGGTGCGGAGCTCGATATTTATGAGGCAGGGTGGCTTAAGGCGCACGCCATCAAGCGGGGCATGGACGGGGTAGACACGGACGCAATCGAAGAGTATGCGTCGCGTGCCGCTGGAGGTAGGGGGCGAAGTTGACAGGCGGGCCCGGGTGGTCAGCGACAAACACTACGTCAAATATGATTTTTAGGGGCGGCTAATGAGCATTTGTAGGGGCGGTTCAGCCAGCCACCCCTACCATACCGTCTCTACAAATCATGCATTTGTAGGGGCAGTTCCCAGACCACCCCTACAAATCTATTTGTAGGGGCGGCTGGTGTTAGGGGCGGCTGGTAACACCAGCCGCCCCTAAAAAATCGATTTGTAGGGGTGGCTATAGTACCAACCGCTCCTACAAATTGATTTATAGGGGTGGCTACAGTACCAACCGCCCCTACAGTGCATTTTTCCGCAAAAAAAATCAAATTACCAACACGTGCTCCCCCAAATCATCATGTGCGTTGCAACGGAAGAAAAATAAATCAATTTAGCTAAGAAATAAGATGATGAGGATCATCAGTTGTAGTAGTCTTCAACCGGAATGCGAAACACAATTGATAAGGGGCTAAGTGCACCTCCATGTCTCCATCAACATTAATCAGAGTTCAAATGATACAACTGCCAATGTTCCAAATAAGGAAACAACTTAGGATCCAATAACCACCATCAAACTCCGGTGATACAAGCTAATAATTGGAATCCCCAGACTTATTATACTACTCAATTCATCATTATGGGGAAACATCAGTGCCTTCTCCTGGTTGAGGTTCTTGAACAGGCTCTCGGTGGTGATGTGATAGAAACACAAAAGTACCAAATAAAATCAATAATATTTCATTTAGTTAGTGGTTGAGCAACAAGCCGAGCATCATCAACAAAGAAGTGAGAGAGGAAAGACTAACAGTAGACCCCTTGTATCTTATAATCAAAAGGAACATGGGGCATCTATAAAGAGATTGTATTGATGAAGCCAAATAATCACCCTAATATGATGATCTTTTGTTGTCGCTGCAAAGCTCAAGCTAATCGAGAAGTAGTGATTACAATCAGGACCAATACTCTACCTTAGAACCATAAGAGAATAGACACGGAAGTAGCAGTTCTAATCCGGGCCAATATTACTCTACCTTAGAACCATAAGAAAGCAGAGAATGAGACTAACATCGCTCTTACGGAAATGCTAGAGGCATTGGTAAGGGAACACATGAAGAGAAAAAAAACCGGAGGGTTCAAACCATTTGGACCAAGAAATGAATCCATTCTTAGACCACACCAAACTTGGCTGTACTTTCCTTTGTGAACCTTTAGAAAGCACTTCGGAAGGTAAATAATCATTACAAAAGCCAATAGCAAAGAGGTAACAATCGAAGCAAAAAGCCCAAAAGCTGCAGCTCAAACAAATATAGAAATAGAGGACAAACTTTCTATTAAAAACTACGCCTAATCCCACTAGTGGCTACCCCACAAACAAGTGAATCAAACATTCCAGGAAGCCAGCAGCAGCTGGTTACCATAGCTATGCTACAACATATAACAAAATGGTTGGTACCAAACATACACTAACAAAAATAATTCCAAAGGTAATCACAAATATGGTATGAGAACAAGATGATGACAAGAAGTTAATTGTATGGGCGGAGACAGCAGATTCCCCACTAGTCATCAATCTTCTCCCATTGAAAAGAAGCTCTTGTTGAACCCAATTTGGCGAATCGATACTTTATTGCACCGACCAAGCTGGTCACGACCAACCAAGTTGAACTCCTAGGGATAACCTTGCTAATATTAACCAATCGAGGTGATGCATGCCCCTAAGTATAACTTTGGTAATATTGATAACCTTCTTAATACTAACCAAGCGAGGTGATGCCCCTAAGTATCAAAATGAACAATTTTAACAGGCATTCACTTTAAATGCCACTGACCTTTGCGAGAGTAAAGAGACTACGACCAAATGCAAAAGTAGCATCTGCAGCCAATAGGCGATTATAGCATGGGCAAAAATACTATGACATTCCTCAAACAACTTCATATTTAAAACATCATTTCGATTCCTCAAAAATATAACTATACTATCCATCCTTTGGGCAAACATGAACCAATAGGGGACTGCATTAAAGTCTTGACTGCTGAGTAGCAAGTTAAAATGTATTTACAATAATAAGAAAAGCTACATAAGTGCACCATACTTCCAACTGATAAGTGTCAAACAAAGCATACTGTAGACTTATGACAGCACAAAACAGTCATAATTATGACTTAGGAAGCATTGCCATACACTAGTAGAGAAACGACTTTTGATCTACTTCGAAATTTGGCTTTAGTCCCGGTATTTTTCGTGCCCGGGACTAGAGAAACCTTTAGTACCGGTTGGTAGCTCTAACCGGGACTAAAGGTCCTGCCTAACGGCTACTGTGGCAGCCTTTTGTTGCAGGGGACCTTTAGTCCCGGTTGGAGCTACCAACCGGGACTAAATGTTAACTTTTACTCCCGGCTGGTCCCTTCAACCGGGAGTAAAAGTCTACTCCCGGTTAGGCTCCGTCCGAGATTAGAAATGAACCTTTAGTCCCGGTTGTTGTCTCCAAACGGGACTAAAGGTCTCCAACCGAATACGGGAGCGACATTTTGTTCAACCGGGACTAGTACGTAGAGTAGCTGCTACATTAGCTAGCTAGTACATTAGCTAGCTGTTCACCGTCAGGACATGTCAGTACGTGTCTCTCTGCTAGCTAGCTGCTACGTACGTAGGAAATCAATTAGTCCCGGCTGATCCCGGCTGACCATCGAGGACTGCTAGCTAGCTGCTACACTAGTACGTAGGAAATCAATTAGCCCCGGCTGGTATTACGAGCCGGGACTAAAGATATACTTTTAGTCCATTTGGTATTACCACCGGGACTAAAGGTCTTTAGTCCCAGTGTTTATAGGAGCTTCGATGGGCCGGCCCAGTACGCAATATACTGGAATTGCTGGCCAGTCCCACCTATTAGCACCACCTCGCTTGTTCAGAAAAGTGAAAGCTAACTTAAAAGCTCAGCTCTCGAACCATGCAGCACGAACTTGAACAGGATCTGCTCTATGGGATTGTACCGCTGATCCTTGACTAAAGGTCCTTCGTACTATAGTTTATACAAAATGTTGAACATTATAAACGTACGTATATTCTAGCAGCAGAGAATGCGTATTCAAAAACCAAAAGCGAATCATCAATTAAAAAAAAAAAAAAGAGAAAATAGAAATAGAAACAAAAAAAAAGAAAACCTTTAGTTCGGTAGCAGCGTGAAAATAGAAAAAAAAGGAAAATAGAAATAGAAACAAAAAAACCTGGTAGCGGCGTGAAAATAGAAATAGAAACAAAAAAAAGAAAAAAAACCTTTAGTCCCGATTGGTATTATCAACCGGGACTAAAGGGTTTAGCCCCGGTTGGTATTACCAACCGGGACTAAAGATCCACCTTTAGTCCCGGGCGCGAAACCGGGACTAAAGGAGGGGCCCTTTAGTCCCGAATTCGTGCTCCCGGTTCCAAAACCGGGACTAAAGGGGGTTGCGAACCGGGAGTAAAAGTAGTTTCTCTACTGGTGATAGCTGCCTTATTCTTACTGAATCTAGAGCAAAAGTTGGCATTGTAATAACAGTGGCTAATCAAATCAAGCTCAGTAACTGTTAATCTCCTAAGATATTTTCACAAGGAGACATTCAAGCAATACCACTCAATTTTTTAGATGGCATAAACTTCTTGAGCAGAAATGAACCTTAAAACACAGATTCTGCAAAAAGACTTTAAGCTCTTCAACATTTTCTAGACAAATGATAGATTATGAACTGATATTCTATGAACTAAGCAAATAGTATGAGCCAATAATCTAGCCATTCCATTTCTCCAGGTTTCCATAACCCAGAAACTAGTAGTAAGACCATCGCTCACTGGACAAAAAGGATATACTAGCACTCATAAGCATTCTCTTGCCCAAGCTTTAGTAATCAACATGAAAACACAATAAACGGAACTCAGCAACTGTAATAACACTTACATTACGAGCATCGCCGTTCTGTGAATCCCCGTTAATTGATATCTCCCCCTTCTTCAGCTCATGAGATGAGATTTCCTTACCCAGCTTACTCACATCACCATTCTTCCCAATTGCATCAACATCCTCAAACCTCCGGCGCTCCCGCCTAGGCTTCTCCTCCTTGGGTGGAGGCGGATCTACAGATGCCTTGACCCGCTTTCCCCCTTCGCAGCCAGGCTTGTCCCCGTCGCCACTGCCCTCGTGGCCCTTCCGCTTCCGTGACGACGACCGCGGCTCGCGGTCGGTGGAGTCATAGCACTCGACAGACTCCCGTGGGTGGCTAGATGAGCGGTCCCGCTTCGATGAGGGTGGTGGGGACTCGAACGGTGAAACGGACCGTTGGTTCCTGCGGCGGCGGTCGTCGTCCTCGCCGTCGCGGTAGCGGTGGCTACGGCTGTCGTCTTTGTCGTGATGGTGACGGTGGCGGCGGTCATCCTCGCCGCCTTCGCCCCCGTCCTTGTCACGGTGGTGGCGGCGGCGGCGGTCCTCATCCCCGCCGTCGCACCGGTGGTGAGCGTCGGTGTCGTGGCGACTGCGGCGGTGGTGTCGGTCGTCGTCCCGGTCGCGGGATCGGCGGTGGCAACTGCGGCGCGAGGAGCGGTCGCGATCCATGGGTGGGGATTGGCAAGGAGAGGGGTTAGGGTTTGAATCGATTCGCCAACGAGGGAGGGAGGGCTGAGAGGAGAAAGAGACGAAGGATCTGCGGTCGGCATCGTGTGCGGGTTCCGAGTATTTATTTGTCGGAGCATCTATAGGGGTAATTTGGATATTGAGTGAGCCGCCCCCACAAATCCGACCTATTTGTAGGGGTGGCTCGTATCACCAGCCGCCCCTGCTGTTCCATTTGTAGGGGCAGCTAGTCTCTGGGCTCCCGAGCACGCCACTATAGGGGCGGCTCCATCACCAGCCGCCCCTAAAAAAAATTTGTCGCGTTGCTACAAACCGTTTTTCACGTAGTGAGAGGAAGAGGAGAAGGGAAGTGGCGGTGTCCGTCTTTGGGCGGTCTTGTGCCACTGTCACATGAGCTCTGCTGGGCCAAACACTGGGGAGGAGGAGGTCTTTGAGCTGCGTGCGGCCTGCCGAGGAGAGAAAGAGCAAGCCAGGCAGGCCGGGCGACAGAGAGGGAGACAAGAGAGAGTGGGCTGCGGCCAAACTCGGCCCCACGAGGGTGGGGCGGGCGAGGGGGGAAGACAAAATTGGCCTTGGGCCGAGTGAGGGAGAAGAATTTTCTTCTTTTTTTCCAAATCCTTTCTATTTCCTATTTGAAAACCAGTTTCAATTAGGAATCAAATCAAGTTCAATTATTATTTCCAATATACTTTTCAATTCAAACAAGAATGAGAAATTTTGGTAAGTTTTTAAAAATAAATTTTCACAACTTTTTAAATGCTCTTTTTTTATTTTCTTTTCTTCTATTGCAAAGCCATTTTCAAAAGCATTTTGGATTTTGGATTTTGGATTTGACCACTCATTGCAATAAATCCAATGCACCGGCATGTATGCACATCCATGTTACTACTCCTTATGATGAATTCTAATTTAATGAAAAAAAATTTATTTCCCTATGTTTTCATGCACAAGAATGCAATATTACCTCAATTTACTTCTATTTCAAAATGAGCAAATTTTAGGGTGTTACACAAAGAAATGAAACAACTGCCAGAAATTTTCAGTGGGAATGCCAAAAAAAATTAAAATAAGAAAAAGTAGCACAGGTGCTGGTAAAGTATGACCGCATATATATTGTGTCTTCCTTTGCTTGAACATCTCGTAACAAGTGCGAGCCCCAGAAGAACGGACAGGGAAGATGGAGGAGCTGTACAAATGTTTGGAAGAAACTGTCATTTTATGCTAAGAATAGGAGGTAAAGGGAAATTACACAACAGAGAAAAAAAGAATTGTAGCACTTCAAACCTCTGTTGCTCCAACTCAGAGCTGCTCTCACTTATGACCACTTTAGTTTCACGAATAAAGTGTTTGGTAGACCTTATGGCTCTAGTTCCAAGCGATGGCAGTGCTCACTGCTCAAAGCATGACTTGGTTGGAGTCAGTGGCTTGGGAGTGCGTGGTGGACGAGTAGATCTCAACTGCCCCAAATCAAGCTTCTCCTCCTTTCAATCAAGATAGCTCATACACCTTCAAATTAGGATTTTCTCCCATGAATCGAGCTCACCAGGCTATACATGTCGAGCTTGGTGGCCCTCCTCCAAGTCTTACTTTGTCACGTGTCATGGAGAAGAGCGAACCACGGCGCGCGGGAGAGGAGGAAGAGAGGCACACTAGTGCAGGACTAAGCATCAGTCCCGGTTGGGAAACCCCTTCAGTCCCGCTTTTCCAACCAGAATTGCGAATCTGGGACTAAAGGTCCCCCCTTTAGTCCCGTTTTTGGGAACCGGGACTGAAAGTGGACCTTTAGTCCCTGTTGCTATTACCAAACTGGGATTAAAGATTTAATCACGGCTAGCAGCTTCAACCGGGACTAGAGGATGACCTTTAGTCCCGGTTTGAGCCACCAACGGGGACTAGAGGTCCCCTCCAGCAAAGCCTGCGGCTCTAGCCGTTGGGCAGGGGACTTTAGTCCCGGTTGGTTGCTCTAACCGAAACTAATCCTCTGTTTAGTCCCGGGCCCAAATATAACCGAGACTAAAGCAAAAAATCGATCCAACCGAAAGTCTGTTCTCTACTAGTGGCAGCGCATCTGAGAGCAGCGACAGTGGAGGTGGCAGCCTGGCAGACAAGGGGCGACATCGAACTGGACGGAGAGGGAGCGAATCATGGACAGTGGGTGTTTTTGTACTCCCCACTGATAATAGTGTAAAATGTGAGGAGTGGATGGAGCTCTTCCCATGAGGAGACGATATAGATTTGATAGTGCTCCTCGGCTTCTCACGTGCAGCAGACCAAAGGGAGTGCTGCCAGAGTGGTCCATGGATGGACATGATGCCCAACCAGCTTCTATCAATAAACTGAACATTGTACACCCACACAAAGCCCACCCGTCCTAGAAACTGCAGCATGCTCTGAAAATGAGCCAAATCCCTAATCTGTAGTCCCTTCGATGCTCGGTAGGTCGGTGCATTTGAAGATTACCACGCTAGCAGACGATTTCCCAATTTTTGAGGCATCTATTTGCTGCCAGGGGCCCCAGGACATCCCTGAGGTGGAGAACCAATTGAAGACGATCATTGTGGCTTGGTGAAGCTCCAGCATGCACCTATCCAGCGTGCATCATGTTAGTCAACAGCTGTATGTGCACCTTGTGCAATTAATAAAGCATGTTAGTATTCGTGTATTCCCATACTGTTAGTCACACCAGACCAACATAGTTTGGAGTCAAATTCTATCATTGTCCGTGTCATCAGTTAGAGTGACTCCAAGTTTATGGGAAAGTTGATGAGGGGTTGATAGTAATTTTTTTTCCTCTACTGCACACTATATTTCTGAAATATTATTTGGAGTTAGCACGTAAATTTTCTCGGCCCATGAGCAATTTAGTCTTTGCACCATTCTCTGCTCACTGAGACGCCTTAGCGCATTGTTCGAGTGATCAGTGTGGCCACATGCTAGGCTTCACCTCGCCATGCCATGTAATGTGCTCCTGAACGATTATCTTTGGGCGTTGTTCCTTCCCCTCTAAAGCTCACTGAGACGCCTTAGCGCATTATTCCTTCAGGTCCTTTTTAGTTTCCCAAACACCCATTGTCTATGAAGACACCGTTCGCTCGTCCCTCAGCCACGATCCTTTTATGGATCGTCGACCTTGGCACCCAAATTCCCAAGGAGTTTTCGTCTTCTCTCTCCTTCACCACATGCTTCTAGCTAGAGTCCTCTATACATGTGATGTGTCAGTCATGTCCTAAAGAGGAGTGGAGTATCCTGATATGGCAACCCTGAATAGAAACATAAAATCAATAGAAAAATAAACACCAATGTAAGTGGCACCACTATAGAAGCACATACCACTGTCAGTTCCAGGCTACAACCAGCACTGATCATTATGGTTTTATTCCCAGCTATTACGTTATCTCTACCACGGAAATGGCAGTAAAAACCTATTCGCTTGCATGAAAAATTCATATACAAATTTTCATGTAAAATTACATGAAGACATACCTTATACCAAAATTATAAAGTTCAATCAGATCCAAAACATTTTAGTTAATATGTAGTTTGAAATGGTTTAACATAAAGATTTTCAATACAAGTTCTCATTTATATTACACAATCTCAGATGTATACAAAATCTACATTAAAGTTATAGCACACGACGATACCTATAACATTGTACTTGAATTTTTTTGCACTGAAAATTGTTTGTAGTATCGAATATGCAATACCAGGTTCTTAACACATGATGTTCCAATAGAAACAGTTATATATTCACATGTAGTTGTGTAGCTGAGATGGTTAGATGGATATGAGAGTTGAGGTTATTGCTTTGAATCTTGAGAAACTCATGTTTTTTTGGGACTATCCATCATGGCTAAGACAACAAAACCCACAGTGAGAACCCTATTATCACCGCTGCTTGTTCCAAAAACCGGCAGTGACGGTTAATTGAGTAGTGATTATACTCTCGTCGTTAACCTTTGTGGTATACAAGTCAAACTAAGTTTGGTTCTCTAAGCGCTGCCTAAATTGCCTCTGCATGCACGGTCAAGTGCCCCAGCAACCGCCAACCTGAGAAGCCTTGCCTAATCGCCACCACCACATGCAGTCGTGGCATCGCCAAGGATGCCAGGAACCTGAGACTGACCTACACTAAGGCGCCACGGATGTGTAACACCTTAAAATTTGCATGTTTTTTAAAATATCTTAAAATGATTTATTTATGCATTTTGTGAGCATGCGAACTTAGAAAAATTTAGCTCCGATTTTAGTGATATTCGCGTCTGGGTGTCCGTAGCAAGACTTAGATTCATTTTACAAACTTTTCATCTTGATTTTATGTTGTTGGTGTACTGTTCTAATCTATAGTCATTGTTTGCTATGCATGATTGCTTCCGGATGCTTGTATGTTGCTGTGATTATCGAGTAGAGATGGTGAGCAATTCGTGGGTGATCAAGAGTACTACTTTGACGAGTAGGATCAGCAGGAACACTTTGTTCAAGGCAAGTATAGCATGGGATCATCCTTGTTTCCTATCAACTTTAATACATTTAATTCATATTGCATGTGTCACCTTGATATGGATTCCCTAGAATTGGACTTATACCTTGTCTCATATGGGATATGGATTGGATAGCTTTGCTAGTGCTCAACTAAACCATTATCTTGTAACTTGACTAATGGTATATGTAATAAATATTAAAATATGAATTTTTAGCAACTTGGCAACTGGGGGCTGGAGTGTTTAACTACTTTCTAAATGCTTCAGATTTCTCCCCCTAAGGACTTATCTGTAAGTGATCATCTGGAACTTACAGTACAACTATAAGGGCTACATGGCTCCAGCTTTAGCTCAGTAGGAGAACGTTTTCTAGCTTGTTAGTGGTTACCTTTATGGCGTAAGAAAGGCTTGACGAATCGGGTATAGTGCGGCCTCTATCCCCTTGAGTATAGGATGCGCGTCATTGTGCCATCGGGAAGGGGGGCTCTACATCTGTTTGCC